AAAAATCCCATGGTATCTTGCTGAACTGTTATCAAAATTTGAATGGTAGAGTGCATTAGAGAATATTCAGAGATGTTAAATGCTAGTTCTGGCCTAGACTTCTCACTCACATGCCAATTTTGTAATGTGAAAAATAAGGAGACACATTCAAACTCAATTCTCCTACCTTCATTCTAATACAATCCTGGAAAGGTTGCACCAGTTCAGCAATTATTATCATTTTTGAGGTACTACTATGGTATTCCAATCTGAAGACTCTTTGCATACTAGTATATTTTCCCCCACTGTGACATTTAAAGCAAAGGGAAACATTTGCCTCAATAAAGGTTTGCTGAAGCAGAACTGTTTCAAAGCTTCATTTAGGCTGATAATCAAAATGCTCTTTTCTATTTAGTTTCTATGGTTACTACTGGATGGGTGATGTGGGTTGTCCCACATTTTTGTCCCCCCAGCATAGAAAACAGCTGGAAGATATTTTATAAGTGTATAGAGTGTTTTTAAAAAAGCATGGTAATTAAAATGCTTTATTGATGTTTTCTTTCTTGAGCTAAGCTTTGAGTAGGATGGCTGATTAGCAGTGCCAGGAATCTTTTGTAATTACAACTCAAAGTCTTATTTTTAGCACAAGAGCTTTTCAACATGGTTGGTTTTGTTGTGAAGCTTCTTATCTTGTTTCCTTTCCACTTGTCATTGAATCCTGGTCGGTTGGTCATGACAGATTATTTTTAACCTTGTTATAATCAGAGGCTCATAGAGAATATGGCAGCTGCTTTGGTCATGTGGGTTTGATTTGTTCAAACTGTAGGTTTACAACTCAGTCCAGCTGTAAGTCTCGTTGATTGCACTCAGGAGATGTGGCACAGCATTCGAAGCACTTCCCTTTACTCTGCTTCCAAAATGGAAGGGCTCACAGAGTCTCATAGGACAATGTAAACATCCCTGTCCTCCTCTAGAGCAGGGATAGTGGGCAAAGCTTCCTCAGCCATGGTCTTCATAAAAAGTCTCCCAGAGCTGTTTGAATGATTTTATTAGGGCTGAGGAACGTGGTACAAGGAAAGAAGGCATTCATGCCTCCTTCCTGTTTCAATATTCCTTTGGGAGGGCTGAGATGCCACCACTAGCCCCACTTAGCCTCTCCCTGGCTCCAAGTTGCTATCACTGAAGTCAGAGTGTCAACAGTGTGTGGGTGGCATTGGGGCTTTAGCACGTCCCCAGTCATTGAACACCATTGAATGACAGTTTGTACTGCTGGCTACTTTTTAGTGGCCATGTTTTCCCAGCCCCTCCTGGAGATTCCACTGTCACTTGTTTTGCTTCTCCCTGTTGCTTTCGCAGGGTTGCAGTGGGGACCAAGGGCTCTGCCAGACTGAACAATAGCTGAATGAAAGAGAAATTGTGAAAAGAGAATTTGGAAACATTCTTGTGGTGCACCTTACCTACTTCTGGTACATGACAAGATACACATACCTTTGGTTAAAAATGGCTGAATTATAAGAAGCAGTGATTTATAATATGTAAATATCACCTCCATGGCCATGAGCCAAATAAGGCATTTCTGAAATTCTCTTTACTCACACAGGAAAATGATGGTTGATGTATGCAAACACCAATATTTTTGTAAAAAGCAGATGATGCTTCTTGTGCTGAAATATCAGATGTGTTAACCTGTCACCCTGGAGGCAATCTTAAACCTTAGGATTCCTTTGCTATGAAGATACAGTCGATTGAACAATTACCTACTAGAATGAACAGCAGTGAAGCGAATGCAATGAGATGCTGTGTGATTTTCCAATCCTACAAATCATTGGAAATCTTTACAGTGAACTCCTGATGGGAAAATAAAAACTCATCTACTTCATGAAAGAATACAGATATAGGTATTTCTCTTCAGAGGCCTGCAAGAAGCATAAATCAGCAGTAGGTTTTGCTTAATGTAAGAACAGAACTTTGTAGAAACCATTTGAATAAACAACTTCCTTGCTAGAGTGCCTCTGTCAGGATAAACATGAAGCAATTTCTCCTCTATTCTATCTGCAGGCCTAGTAACTATCCACCACCCCAACTGAGGTGATTAACTGCACTTAATATTTGTGTAGTTTGGCCCTAAGAACAATTTGGATATCATAGCACAGGGGCAGAGGCAGTGGAAGCAGTAGAATAGGGGTAGGGTGGAAAGTACCCATTCATTCAATATTATAAGCCACCTTAGGACACCTTGAGGGGAAAAATGGGGCATAGCTATTATAAATAGATAAAGAATATTCACATATTTATTTCATTTATATGCTGCCTTTATCCCACAATTGGGATCCAAGACGACTTACAGGCCAACTTACAATCGTAAGAGATTAAAATGTAATAAAATGACAAACATTAAAATAGAATTCAGTTACATGATTAAATACAGTTATATCGTTAATCTTAACAAGTTAAAATCAATTAACATAGTAGTGCTAATTTAACTTAAAAGAATAAGAACCAGCTCATTTGCAGGGAAATGTACATTCAGCAGGTTTGGAGAGCTTATCTAGAAGCATCCTTACTTCCCATTATAGTTACAGTTTTTGAAAAAGTAATCCTGCAATTTTTTTATTTCTCAAAATCATTAAAATCATTTATAACTATTATTATTTTTAATTAAAAAAAAAAACTAAAAAAAAACTTGAGTCCTTAAAGCCACCACATCATAATCTAAAAACCCCAACATAGCATGAGATAGCAACACGAGGCACAGCATGAGCCATGCCCTAGACCAGTGGCGGCAAACCTTTTCGGGCTCACGTGCCCAAACTGAAAAAAAAAAACCCTAGCAGGCGGCGTGCTGCAGTTGCAGCGGTGGCAGAACTGGAAGTGGCAGCGGAAGGGGGAATCCTGGCACGGAGGTGCCTCAAGACCCCACTTTGGATCCGCTGCCAGCGCCAGCTGCTCTGGATCTGCCTGCCGAAGTGCTAGCACCGCAGCTGCAGCTGCATTCTCAGGTTTGACTGCGTGGGGAGGAGTAGCAATCCAGCGACTTATGGCTTGCATGCCCAGAGAAAGGGCTCTGCGTGCCAGCTGTGGCACGTGTGCTAGAGGTTCACCATTGCTGACCTAGACTGTGTCATATTCTTCTTCCACTATTCTTTTATAGTAGCTATAGTACTATGTAAAAGTAACAGCTATAAGCAGAGATGGGCACAAATTAAAAAGTGAATCACTAAATTCATTCAAAAATAGCTAACATTGTGTGTGTGTGTGTGTGTGTGTGTGTGTGTGTGTGTGTAATAGATAATCATTCATTTGTATTCATATGAATCAATGCCCTGCTGAATACGACACAATGACTTTTTAGTAATTTTTGATTTGTTGATTCATTTGGCTATAAAAAGGCTCCTCAGGCACCTAGAGACACCAAAATTGCAGGGAAACTTCTTATGACTCTTCTCTTCAATTTCTACAAGTTTGGTGATGATTAGGTATCAGATGTCTTAGCTATACACCCACAAAGAGCCCCCCCAGGAAAGTTCCCCCCAAGAACCTAAAGACACCAAAATCACAAAAAAGCTTCTACTGACTGTCCTCTACAATCCCTCCAAATTTGGTTAAGACTAGTTTTTCCCATACCAGCTGCTAAATGGCACTTTCCTGGGGGGGGGGACCCACTTTATGGGTGTAACTTGACTATCTGAAACTCTATATAAATAATATGACAGCAGGTAGAACAGCCAGTTACCGTAGGATAGTATACAATCTGAGTGACAGAAGAACACCATATCATAGTGTCTTTGTCATATAACATTTTAATTACTTTCAATAATGATTGATCTAACAGATATGAAGTATTAATTACCTTAATTATGCACAAAGTTGATTGCATACATAGTCTTGATCGCCATACATAATGCTGATTAGATACAAAATCATTACCACAATGCTCATTACATTCGAAATATTGATCACAATGTTATTTACATATAAAATCTTGATCACTTTAGGCATCAAGGTAATAACTTGATTCTGCCACTGCCTTTTTCAGTTGAAACCCACAGTAGAATTCTTTCTTTTGTTCAACAACTGCCTATACTTCAATCATATATACCAACAACCTGTTGATAAATTCTTTGCAAAACTTTTGAAGAAGCTAAAAGGTTGCTGATATACAAACTGTAAGAGGCAGTTTCTCTGTTTCTTGCTTCAAGCTAGCTCCCCAAGTTAACACAACTTGGCTGGCTGTATCAATTTTGTGCATATCTCTAGGTACACATATTTTGGAGATACAAACTACTTTTTAAAAAAAGCAATATTTGGTGGAAGGTCAAGACTCTCATTTTCTCAAAGCACTGGTTATGTAAGAAACCAAGAATATAATTCCCTTGATGTTTGATTGCACAAAGTTTATTTAACTGAATGGAAGTATTTAAGGTGAACTGTTGCTATGTAGAAAAAATGAATTCCAGTTGATTATCTATATTGAGCTCTCAAATCACAATAGCCTATAAAATGGGTGTGCTATTATACTTCATAAGATTTCTTGTGATCATATAAGAAAAAGGTCAGTTAAAGAGTAATAAAGAAAAGGCAGTGTGTAAAAGAAGTTTCCAGTCAATAATAGATAAAGTGAGTTCAGATTGTTATCTGGAAGGTCAATGTACCATACGAAAAGATAAGTTTCTCTAACTTATTTAACGAACAGAAATACAGTTGCAGGCCTTTCTGAATAGGGGATTCCACAATAGGAAAACCACACCATTGTGCAAGTCAGTGATTTGGAAGGCACCAGATTAAGCAAGGCTGGAATAAGGCAACACAACTTCATCTTAGCGTTTTTTGGAAACTAGAGGACATAGTAAGCAATCATGTGCCTAACTGTATTATTCATTTATGCACAGAAGGTGTCAATATGATATAAATAAGGTCAAAAGGGGACTACTCTTTCTTTGAAAGGCCCTAATTCATAGTGTCAAAGATATATGACATCACATATGTTTGTTGTGTTTTTTTAAAACATTTACTCCTTCTAGTGACAGTCTTGGCGATCTTCCACGAGCTTCATGTTGATACAGATCTTTACACTCTCCTTTTTGGTGAAAGTGTCCTAAATGATGCTGTGGCTATTGTCCTCACACAGTAAGTACAAATATTTGCCTATTTTTTAGAGTAAAAAGGTTTATTGATTCTCCACACCTCTAAATTATACCTTCCTGTTTATGCATAAAGTGAGATTTATATTGCTAAGGAATCATTTGTATATTTGATGCTTCTAAAAGGTATCTAAGATTCTTGTTAATTTTGACTCTGTGTCCAGATATGTCCTTGTCAACTGATCTAAGCTTACTGAACACTAATCCAAAGTTATCCATACACTCAAGAGAGATAAAGAGAGGGCTTTCTCATTCATTTAAATGGGGGAGTATGCACTGTCCCAGGTGCAGCAAACTGTTTCCTCTTCAGACTGTCCTTCTTTAAAAGGACACCATGACAGGCAGGGATGAGGCTAAAACTCCCCCTGCTTATGCTGTCAAATTAGCCTCTCTCTTTTTTGAACAGCTGAATAGGGTTTAAATAAAAATGGTTGCTAATAGTTGAGTACATTAACTAATTAGTTTGATCAGAGCTTCAAAGTGTACTTTTATAAAGTAATTAGTTACAGATTCAGATCTATCCCCAGCTCTGAACATAGTTACTACTACAATTACATTTTAAAAGTAACAGTGCCTTCTTCATAATTCAAAAGTAAATTAAATAGTTACTTTTAGTGACATTAACCTTCAGCCACAAGGATAAAAACTTGTACCATGTGACTTGAAGGATATTTTTGTGTCCTTGGGAATTCCAGTGTATTGAGGATTAACAGTAAGGTTAGGTTTGGGGAGAGGGTTGCACCTCTTTTATTTCCTGACACCAGTGAGAATCCCATCTACTCCCAATGGGGCCACCTTACTGAAAACCTTCTGAATACATAACTTCTACTTTTTGGCACCATAGTTAGCTAAAAAAATTGCATAAGGGGTTTTTTTTGGTTAAAAAGTTACCTGAAAGGGGACCCAATAAAGTATACTGTAGCAATAGTGGAAAAAAAAACGTGTTTGTTGGAACACTTTTTGTTCCAGATGATAGGGGCCAGAATCCTGCTGAAAAAAGACATATAAAAACACTAATCACACAAGTGTTTTGCATCTTTTCTGGAGTGTTTGTTGCATGATCAACCAGTGTGTGGCTAGTTGTGTGTTCATCACCCTGCCAAAATGTAAACACTTCTTGCACAATTACTCTTGCACACATTCTTTTCCTGAGATTCTGGCCTTTTTTAAAAAAAACTATAGAGAGCAAGTGGTTCAAACTGTGGGACATTCTTTACAGTTATTTAGGTGGCAATGTGGTGGTATGTGGCATTACTCTGGGAAATTAAAATGTCCAATTTTGATACATGGGCTTTTAAAAAGAACCTCATTGTACAAAAAGCTCTCCATATCTCCATATCTCTGGAAAATTGAGGACCATTTCTGATATGACATTTTCTGCCTTCTAATGGGGAAAAGTAGCTTTCACCAACATTTAAATTACAGGGAGACTATAGGGAGCTTGTGCTGGCTGTTAACCTCTTTTTCAAAAGCTAAGGGGGAACATTCCTTAGTTAAAACTGTGGAGAGCCTCGGTCAGGTTGTGTGGATTTCATTAAGGGCCTGCCCTGTGCGGTCCTTTGTGGTTTTATCCTGTCCCTCATGCTATTCAACATTTACATGAAATCTTTGGAAGATATGTCTGGAGTTTGGAGTTTTGGTCCAGCCATTATACTGATGACACCCAACTCTATCTTCCTTTTCCATCCAAATCTGTGGGAAATGTTTTGATGATAAAAATATTGTTTTACTATTTTTTTATGTTAAATATTGGTTGAGGGTGAAAAAAAGCAAAGCTTATTATAGAGAAGACAAAGGTGCTCCTGGTCAGGTGAAAAGCAGATTGAAGAATAAGGGTTCAACCTGTGTCAATGGGGTAGCACTTTCAAGATTTTCAGGCTCATGACATGGGTGCGCCACTGGATTCAGCCCTCATCCTAGATGCCCAGGTTTGAACAGCAGCTTGGAGTGTGTTTGCTTTCAACCTATTCCTCGAGAATTCTGACCTTAACACATCTCTTCTCATGAAATAAAATATATCTCAGAGTGTCTATTATTTGTTCATAGCTAAACAGTAGTCCTACACAAGAGATGCAATTTGGGTTAAAAATGTTTATCAGCTGAAAACGTCTACTTTCTTTTCCCCTTGTAAATGCTGCATTGTTTTTCTGAGGCAAGCTAAGAACAATAGAATAATGTCATTGGATACGGGACAAAACCCCTGCTGATTTCACTGGGGTCATAATTCCATTCCAAATACATTTCAGGTAAACATATGGACAGTTTGAAAAATGATAGGGAGCTGGAAAAACAGAGAGTAACTACTGAAATATATGTGGAGTCTTAACAGAGAACCCTCATGTGCATTCAGTGATCAGACCAGAAACACTTTCACTCAGCATTTGCTTCTTAGGAAAGCTTCTCCATAGGCACATATGGCCTTAAGCATCATTAACTAGAATAGGATTTGAGCAGCTTTAAAGTTAAGCGCTTCTTTGTCTTCCTGAGGCAGGTCAAAGTAGAGAGTTGCTTCTTTAAGCATCTGGATTTAAGACATAAAGAAACCTTCTACAATGCTGTGCAAAACTTGCTCAGAAATGCACACCGTGATTAGTTCCGAACAGAAATAGCTCCCATTGGTGCAAGCCAAAAATCATAGACAGGAATGTTGACTTTTCGACTTTCTTTTTAAAAAAAAGTTAGTGGAAGAAACTTTGAGAAAGTTACCAGTAGAAGACAACAATATCTGAGGATGCACCCCCTCTGTTAAATTCCATGAAGGAGGCAAGGAGGTTACATGATCAAATCCTTACCTAGAATCTCCCTCCCTCCCTCTCACTCTCTCTCACACACACTGAGGGGCAAGGGATAAACTTGTGCCTGGAGTTTCTGTAGGTATGTTTGTATTTTGTACACGATTGATTGATTAGGCATCCTTCAGTCTCAAGAGACTATGGTAACGTGCTCTGTATGGAGGACTTGGAACAGCGTCTAGTGTGGCTGAGAAGGCCAATTGATCACAATACTCAATCTTGCGTTATCTGAGAGTGCTGTGTGTCTGATGCACATCCAGACTTCATAGTACACACCCATGCAGTCATTTGTACAGAGAATGAGATGCTGTAATATATCTAACCTCATCTTTGTTTCCACAGTCCATTCCACATATTTCCATTCACTGTAAATTCTGTATATCTGGGGAAAAAAAGGAAATTATACCTTCCATCTCTGCTCTTCCTGTTCAAGTATTGCAGTGCTACATAAAATAAAGTAAGTTGTAGCATGAAAAGAGATACCATATTTGCCGGTGTATAAGATGACTTTTTTGCCCCAAAAACATGCCTCCAAGTGGGGGGGGTGTCTTATACGCTGGGTGCATTTCAGTTGGGCCAGTAAGGAGACGATGCCGCTGCCGTTGAGGGAGTGACGCGGGGCCGCGCCAGCCAGGGAGGAAGGCAGGTGGGCAGGCAGGCGGTCAGTCTGGACGGAGGGAGGGAAGCAGAGCCAGCCATGCCTGAGGGTCCAGAGCCCGCCGCCGGGCTGCCCGCTGCCCCACGCTGCTGAACCAGCTGCCCGCTCGCCCACCCGCCACCCGAAAGCCACTTCCCCTCCTCCTCCTCCTCCGCCCGGGCAGAGCCCCGGGCAGCCGCCACCACCACAGAGCCATCCACTCTATATTTTGAGTGGAAATGTTGGGGGGGGTCATCTTATATGCCCAGTCATCTTGTATGCTGGCAAATATGGTACATCAGAAGGACTGGAGAGTTCCAGAAGGCCAGACTGGTATCCATCAAGAGAGAAGTTCAGCTCTCTTTTTCTTCTTCTGTCTACTCAAGAACAGGAAAAGAGTACTATCCCTTTCTTTTACTCTTGCATTTGCTCTGCAACCAGATCATACCAGGACACCAAAATGGACAAGGCCATTTGCGCTTCATTAATTTTGAGAATCCTTGTAAATTGGAAGACACTTAATGGCACAGAATAACAAACTGACATGTATATTCATTGTTATTGTATGGCCCATATTTCTGTTTGGGTTTAATCATGTTGTATTAGCCTCAATTGTTTGCATTTCCAATTATGACTTATTGATCTTGTGAAAACAAAGGTTAAGCAAAGAAAACTGTCGTGAGTGAACTGGTGGCATCTCTAGAATACTCTCTGAATACACCCGTTGGCATGCAGCATTTCAGAGAAAGCTAATTAAAGACACTGCAGCTGTGTTTGGTACAGAAAAAATACTTTAATCTCTGTTGTTTTGCCTGTATAAAAGCCAATATGTCAAAATCTAATTCACTCTCCTGCAGACTTTCTTCAAAAAAAATATGAAAGAAAGATGTTGCAAATACTGATCTCTCCTTTGGAGTAAGTATTTTGGCTGTTGTTCTTTTCTGTCCAGAGCATTCTCTCACACCAGACTCTGTGGGGAATTGTGACCCTTGTCTGTGCTGTAATTTCTCGTTCTAAATTCAGTACCAGACATATGCAGTGAAAACAAAGCTGGTACTTGTTTGCTACATAAAAAGAAGGTAGGAAAGATGATGATGATGATGATGATGATGATGATGATGATGATGATGATGATGATGATGATGATTGGCTGTCAAGTCACTGAGAAATATAAGAACAGAATCATTGTGGTACCTTAAGAATAAAAATTTATTTCAATGTGCACTTTGTGGATTGCTTTTCTGAGAAGGTTAACTATAATCCACGAATGCTCACACTGAAATAAATCTCTCAATCTTTAAGGTGTCACAACTTCTTCGTTTCTATTTTTGTTTCTATTTTGTTCTCCCTTGTTTCAATTTTTGGATGCTGAAACAGACTAAGACAGATATTTGTTTGAAAAAATCAGATTTATGATAACCCTCTGAATTAATTACTTAAAGGTGCTATCATGAACATCTCTGCTTTGATCTCGCAAGTTAAAAACCATGGCTTCTTTTACTGAGACAATAAATCTCATATAAGGTTTCCTCTTTTCCTACTGCTTCCTTCTTTTCC